AAAAATTGTTTATTACATATAGTAATGACAATACTTTACATGTAGAAAGCCCTTTTCATATGAGGAGCTCAGTTTTTTGTTTTAATTTTTTTAAACAATTAATTAAGCCTCACTGCACTCCTCTAATAAATTTATTAGTCTCTAAGGTGCCACAAGTACTCCTGTTCTTTTTGTGGATACAGACTAACACGGCTGCTACTCTAAACCTGCACTCCTATAATCATTTTACAGATGGGTAAATTGAAGTACAAAGAACTGAAGTGGGTGCTTTAAGTTCATATAGTAAGACACTGGCGGGAATGGAAGTAGAACACAAGTTTTGTCTCCTGGTCTCCTGTTCCAGTAACTGGACAGCAATGCCTCCCCTCTCTGTCATGAGCCCAGTATATTGTATATTGGCTTCTGCTGTGTTAATTAGAGCAGGGCAGGAAACAGGTTTTCCATCCTATGAAATTTCAAAAATTTTAAATTTTTCCTGTCAGGAATCGGGATAGAAATCGTATTATAAAAAATCCAGATTGGGTCGCCTGAAACATTTTTATTTCAGTAATTTCAAAATACTTCATTTCAGATTCAACATTTTTAAAGTTTTAAAACCATTTTTGTTATAAATTAACTATTTTTAAAAATCAAATGTCATTTTGAACCAAAAAATGAAATTTCACTTTGAAAATTATTTTTTTTCCAAAAATATTTCTAATCAGGAAATTCATCAAAACCAACCCTTTCCTAGGAACAGTTTCAGTTTTGATGCATTGACATTTTCAGATGGAAAAAAATTATCCTAAAATTCCCAATCAATTCTAATTTAATTTGTGTATGGTTTTAATTATGGTGAGATTTATTCAAGCTTGAGTAGGTGTAGCTGCCTACAATGGCTTCACCCCTGGACTAGAACACTTTGTTTTGTAGTTTATGATAGTATTAATTCAAGAGGCTGTGTTTTCTCATGTAACATGGATTGCTCAAATGAGGACATATTCTGCTCCATAATAAATTTAATTTGATAGCATCTATACTTAGAGGTCTGTTTCTGAAAAGTTTATCTCCACCTATGCTAGAGCATATTCTTCATAGTAAGATTTGTGATTTCTCTCTTCTGGATTTTTCAGGTTTGGGCAAATGGCCACCTGAATGTGAACTGCCACTGGTTTTAGGGTTGACTTTTGCAAAACTAAAATCGCACCCACTTCAGTTCATCTTATGTAATCGGAGACTTTAAAGGCCAGAAGGGATCATTATGCACACCTCAGGACACAGAACCTCACCCACCCATTCCTGAAATAGGCTCATAACCTCTTGCTGTGGTGATGATACTTAGTAGTAGTAGTTTTGTTACCCCTTATTTTGACAAATATATTTAAGCAAATGTACACAAAAGAGGCAAAGTTTTATCGGAAAATCTGGTGTTGCTCCCCCAAATGAAAATATGCATGGAAAAGATTCTCTGTCCTTTCCCTCCATCGCCTGATATGATTTCTTTGATGCTTAATGCATGGATTAATTGTTTTATTGTGTGGTATATACCTATCATGTATCATCTTCAAAGCAACTCCTGTACCTAGGTATTTCAGCAAGGTCCCCTTCTAAATTATGTTATCTTTCCAGGAAAAGCCTTTGGGTTCACCTACTAATTTAGCTTCATTTTTGGCAAGGCTATAAAATCTATTGACCATCACAAAATCCAACTCCTAAAAGTATAAATTAGACACATGTGAAGTGTTCAGCAGTTACCATGAAAATTCTCTTATGAGTTTGGGAATCATCAAGTCAGGGAACAGAACCAGTACCATGTGGTAACTCTCCAGTCCACAAGAAGAATAGTAATTTAAGAAAGGTGAGTGAATAGTTCACAGATAGTTGATGAGCTGAAATATTTTTGCATTTAGCAATGTTTTTTAATAATGAACAAACAGGAAATGTCCCTTAATGGGAATGACTCCAAAACTTACAGAGAGCTTTCTAAGGTGGCCAGTGTGAATACATATGTGAATACTGGCATGAAGATGTATTTGCAATACTTTTTCTTTACATTAAAATGTTTATCAACAAAGAGTTTCATTATCTGAGTGCTCACAGGAAGCAAAGTAAAAGAGCTATTGAATTTTCTCAAAATGTAATTATTATTTTTACTTAACCAAATGTTCACAAATAATGTTGTGTACAATTTGCTTAGCATTAGTCCAGAAGTAAGAACCAGACAAAGAGCAATCATTCATATAAAAAACAAACAAACCTTAAACTTGTAAGAGAAGTTAAAAACAGGTGAGATGGTACCTCATGGTGATATAACTTTGATAATTATATTGATTTTGCGGGTGTTGCTGCATTACTTTCATTCAGTAGTTTAGTTGGAAAGAGACTTATTTCTGTCCCCAAAGCTTTTCAGAAGTTTTGAAATAGTACTCCTGAGTTCTGTGGTAGAGGAGGTTCCAAGATGACATAAACGATAGCAATTACTGACCATGAAAATGAGAGCCATGCTGGAAGTTGCTGCATACACACAACACCATTTAGAAGATGATAAGTAATTGCCCCCTTTCCCCTTTCCCATTCTCAGTGGGGTTGCCCAAGATTTGTCTTTCATCTTTTACTAACTTTACATCTGTCTGTGGGTAGTGTCATCCCACATCTCAGCCTGTCTGTCTCCTCTCAGATGTCTTCTTGTCTGCTTTGACTGAATACATGCGGAACAGAACTTCCCTCCCTAACATTCTCTACTTTCCACTTCTCAGTCACTGTCAACATCACCCCCATCTTCCCTGTCCCTCAGGCCAACAATCCTCTCCCGTGCCCCAAACATCCAAATCCGAACATATCTTCCTCCTCAGTGTCTCCAAGATCCATCCTGTTTTTTTCATCTTCACAGTCAAATCTCTCATTCAGGCCCTCATTATATCCTGCCTTGATTATTGGCCTCTCAAATATACACATTGACCCCACCAGTTCATACACAATGCAGTCACTAAACTCCCTTCCTTTGCTCATATAACTCTTCCTCTCTTTGAATACTTCCACTGGCTTTTCATTTGCTGTCAAATCAACTGTAAGCATCTTCCCACCACCTTCAGAGCTCTGCATAATTTGGCCCCTCCTACTTATCTTTCCTCATCAAGCTTCATGTTTTCTCCATACCTTCTGCTCCACTAGTGTTCCCATCCTTGTCTACCCATTTTTAGTTGCTCACACTTTCACTTCTGTGCCCTCTTCCATGTGATCTCACATGGTACAACCTTATCACACAGTTACCTTCATGTTTTCTGTACATAGTGCAACCTCCATGAGTTTATATTGCAAAGCCCATATTTAAAGCCCCCCTTAAAGACTCACTTCTGCCATGCAACACACAGTGAATCATGTTGACCTGTATACAAATTAGAGATGGTACAAAATTTTTGAATTCCTACATTTTCCAGTGAAAATGGGGGACAACATTTTCATGAAAAATTCATCCCACTTTTTAGCCAGTTGGTTGAAAAAAATTAAATTTTGAAATTTTCTGACAACAAAAGGAGACATTTTTCATGGAAACTTCAAACCCCAAATGTTCCAGTTTTTCAGCCATCTCTAATGCAAATTGTATAGAATTTTGTTCCCTTTCATCTGGCCTCTTTTCTGCCCTTAGATTGTGAGCTCCTCAGAGCGGGGACTGTTCTTTTTGAGTGTTTGGAAATCTTTTAGCACAGAGTGGGCACTACTGTAAATAAACAATTAACAATAATGAAAACAAAATTATCTTCATACTGTGCTGCATCAGAAATAGACTTTCTAAAATGAATGTTTTCTTTCTAATGGGTTCCCATGAGGCTTCCTTAGCTACATGCTTGTGACAATCTCTTGGTAGAAACGTGTGCATCACTGTGTCTATTCGTATATTATTTCACGCGTTCTTCAAATCCTTAGCCTGATGAATGCAGGGACTGTGTTAGGGAGGTGGGACTGGTTTTAAAGGCAATATCCTTGATCAAACATTGTCGTAACCTCCCCCCCCTTTTTTTTGACACAGTAGGGCATATTCTGAACATGTCTAGAAGTGTGACAAATCATTCAGCAGATATGCTCATTGGTACTCCAGGAAAGCTAAAAGCATTGCCCTCAAATAAGAGAGAGGGTTTCTTGGTTGCGTATGAAAGCATGTGGAAGCTAGCATTCATGATGAAGGCATAACAACTGTTTCTTGTTTTTTGCCATGTTTGAGGAAAACAAAAGAGAAATATTTGTGTATAACTGGTATGTTGTGTACCGATAGAAAATAATTGTTAGAGGAAATGGTGAACAATCAAGAAAACACATTACATTTTTACAACAATTTGCCAAATAGTTTTTGTTGTTGTTCTTATAAAACTAGGAACTGATAAATGGCTGGGAAGAATAAAGACGCAAGTATGCAGCATTTCAGTTTATGTATGCATCTCCAGGAACTTCTGGCAAATATGTCTTTTCCGTCACATAACATGTTTATTCCCAAATAAAATGTCCTTCACAAATTATTGATCGCTCATGAAGAAAGGAGAAAACAAGTTGGGGTAACTTCTCCCCTTGCAGAACTCTTTTCACACCCTTTTCACTCCACTGGGTACCACTCTACACAATGTGACAGTTATGATTGATATGCCCAGCTGAACAAATAAGATTTGTTATACCCATGTAGCCTTACTGATGTCTATGGGGTTGCACAGGTGTAAGAGACAGTAGCCATTAAGCTAGGATTTAAAAACAGAAATAGACTGACATCCAGGACCAACAGGGAGAGAGTTTTATATTCTGAGGGGTCCAGCTATTACTATTAATATTTGTTTGTGCAGTGTCCACCAGTAGGCTAGGTGCTATAAATGTCTCACCCATTATGGCTTATAAGTCTTCAAGTCATGATGATGAACCAAGACATTGATTGAGAAGTATCTTGGGAGGGAATTAAGTACCTTTATGGGTTGCTAAAAACCAGCCAAACAAAAAAGCTAGTAGGCTGCACATTTTCCCCCTTAACTACCTCTCCTCAGATATTGACCAGTGGAATAAAGTAATTGAGCAGCTGGGAACACCATGCCCAGAATTCATGAAGAAGCTACAACCCACAGTGCGGAACTACGTTGAGAACCGACCTAAGTATGCTGGTCTCACTTTCCCCAAACTTTTCCCAGATTCTCTCTTCCCAGCCGACTCAGAACACAACAAACTCAAAGGTATGTCTAAGGAGGGAGCATGGGGCATGTATGACCAAGTACAATAAAACATGTTTTTTCTCCAGCTGAGATTAATTGATTTTCAGTGTACTTTGAAACACATTTCCTATAGTGGGTCATAATTTTTTTTCTCAGTGCTAAGATGAGGGAGAGTCATGGATGTAAAAAAACATACTAGAAAGAAAAGAGAGCAACACTTTTAATGTCTGCAAAGTTAGTCTCCATCCATGTGTTTATTGAAAACTGTTCTCTTTGATGCGAGGAAAAGAAAAAGTGGTTGAGATCTAAAGTGTGGTAGAGAAAGAAAAAGTAAAATGTTTTAGCTAGTTGATGTTTTCATGAAAACATTGTGGGGTTTATTTATCAGATCAGATTCAGGTGCTGTAATGACCAAGACACTTGCATTGGTTTTATCTAGCAAGGAGTTAGTTCTAAATATGATTTGGAGGGAAATTTGGTGCGAGGGCATCCAGGCCTCTAGGGTACGTATGTTGATGTTGATTAATACATCAAGCATGTCAGATTCATGGCACTCATTCTGTACAGCTATGCACTCCGATAGAACCATAAGCAAGTTTGGAAAACCCTGAATTTTTATTAATTTTGTTCTGACATACTGGAGCCCAAGGAGATCTCAAAGTGGCATTAAATCTTCTTTTGTTGTAAACAAAGAACTGTCAATGCAGCCAGAGCCCTGACTACAAAAGTGATGGTGTGTTTACTAAGAAAAGTAAAAGTATCAATGCCACCAGCTAAAATTGCTCTTGATGTAGTTGCAGTTTAATATCTGCCTGTAAGTGGCTTTGTGACTATGAAAAATGGAGCAACTGGGTTTTGGTATGTGAAGCAGAATGATATCTTAATTACAGTGGGGCTACATATTTCCATTGTACAATATATGCAGTGGCATGTGGTAAGATGGTTATAGTCATAAATTGAAGCCATGATAAACTTGAACAGGATGTTGACTTTCAATAAGAAACAATGATTAATGTGTGTTGAGTATAAAAAGATTTCCAGTCACAGCTTTGGAACCTTTTCAAACTGCTAGTGTGCATCAATTTTGCACACATGGGTTCCTCTGGTTGCTTGCTGCAGTGACACATAATGTTTCTTAATCACCTACAATTTGCATGTCATTACATTACCCAGAATGCTCTTCCAGTTAACAACTGTTTCATAGCACGGCTGTTGTCTGAGATCTGGGAGCAAAGTGAAAGGTCTGAGCAAATGCTTTTGGATGCATTGAGTCCTTTTCTGTACTCCTCCTACAAAGAAAATGAATAGTGGTCTTTCATTGGATTTAGGGCTAATGCACAGAGAATAATGATCAAACTGTGTTAACTAATTATCTCCTGGATAAAGGAAGCACACTTTTATTTAAGCACAGAGTGAATGTCTGTGTTTAAGATTATTTCTTGTTTGGTTCCTCTGTCCTAGGGTACTTTTATATCCTGAATCCTCGTACCTTCCTAAAAAGTACAATAAATAATGGTATATAGTCACTTTGATGTCACTTTTAGTAGTGTGCTGGGGTACATAAGATACATTTGGTGAAGGGGTTGTGTTTTTGTAGTTACTGATCTATTTTTGTTCTTTGTTTTCTATTCGAGGTCCACTTCAAATGGTATAAAAAGTAAGATAATAGTAAATGATTTCAAACAAGAAAGCAGTTTTAATATGATATGTGCAGTACTCTTAGCAGTAAGTGATCTGGTTAACTTTAAAGAAAAAAAAGATCGCAGTGAATTTATTGACAGTCGGGGGAAAAAAAACAATACTAGGATAAGAAAAAAAATCAGTTTGTGGGTTGATTGGCAGCATATTTGCTATGAATACAGAATACTATGGGCTCTGATCCCAGATTAGAGGTTTTGGCTTGTACTTCGTATAGACCATCACATGGTACTAGGGTTTGTTTCGTTGTTGGATACTTGCCCAGCCAGACATCAGCATGAATTTCCATCTGATGCTTATTCAAACTCCTGTCAGAATGAATAGAGAGTTACTTTGCTCTCTTGGCTAAATCTCATATTCCATTTGCCACTACCAACTAATTTGTTCCCAGGCACTCTGAATAGTAACTCACATAGCAACTGCTACAACTGCCTCCATTCAGGTCCTATGCTATAAATAGGAAAAATTCAGCTAGTTATCAGGGAGAGAGAATTCACAGATTGTGAGCTTTTGCTGAAATCTTGCCATATTCAACTGTGTTACAACACCATGCTGGACAAATTCCAACTTTCTTGACAAATAAGACTAAGCTCACTGAGCTGTATGTTCTGTCAGTGTAAATTGGTATAGCTCTACAGAGGTCAAACACAAGTGTAAATGGGGCTATGCTTATTTACACCAGCTGAGGATATGGCCCACTGGTTTCAGCACTATTTGAGTGAGTATCGGGATTTGGACAGAGCCTTCATCAACAATGTTATCTAGCATCTCTATGGTGGTGAATGTCCAAGCAATCAGAACGCCATATATTGCTACCCTGGGAGATTCTACTTTCTGTGACCCATAAAATGTTTCTTCACTTGAAAAGATACTTGTTGGTAGGGGCAGAATTTCAATATTACTCTCCTCAAGAGATATGGGAGAAAACTAAAATTTTTATCCAAACTCCCAGAACTTTGTTGTTGTTTGAATAAATGGATTCCAGAGCTACTCCTGTTCTTGGGTTTGGTTTTCCAGAATAAAAACCCCAGTGAAGGGGATCTTGCAAACCCAAACCAGGGTCCACACACCAGGTCCTCAGGGTCATCAATATGGCTGATTTGCACTGCACAGCTCGCAGTTTCTGGCTGCAGATTTAGTGTATCTGGTCCCAGGAGAAAAGCCTCAATGCAAGTGGGAACCGCTGATGATGTATAGCTGGTGTAGGAACTCCCATAACACCCTTCTTCCTGCTGCCAGCCCAGGGCAGAGTAAAAGGGATAGAGCTGAGACTAGAGCTATCCGGCAAAAAGTTTTGAGGACTTGAAAAAGTTTCCCATCCCTTATCAGGAAGAAAAATCAATCTCAAACCAAAAATCTGGAAATTAAATCAGTTTGGGTCAGTTTCATTTCACTTTCAACCCACTTTATTTTAAAATATTTTAAAAATATAATTAGCTTTAATTTTGAAATGAAAAGTCCTTTTGAACTGGAAAACCAGAATGTTTTGTGCCCATGCAGAAACAAAATATTTTGCCAATTTCAAAGCTTTTTCTCCAAAATTATTCTGAGTTGAAATTTGATCAAAACCAACCCTGTCCCACAAAAAAATTGTTTTGATGAATCAGCATTTTTGGACCCATTTTGAGGGCATACATGAGACTTATGTAACGTGCAAGTCTTGTGCTGGCTCTTTATTCATCCTCTGTGTATATTTGGATCTCTTGCTCTATTGAGGAGTGGCAGAATTTCATCCAAATGAAGAATAACTGGAGGGAACAAATTGCCCTACTTATTTTTTTACAACAGTTAACCAATACCTGCATGTAGTAATTTTGTACTGACACTGTGTTCCTCTGATTTCATTGCTCTAGCCAGCCAAGCCAGGGACCTTTTGTCAAAGATGTTGGTGATTGACCCAGCCAAGCGGATATCAGTGGATGAAGCCTTACAGCATCCATACATTAATGTGTGGTATGACCCTGCAGAAGTGGAGGCGGTAAGTGAAGCATGGACATTTAATTTGCTTTCACCTCAGTACTGTAAAATGCAGCCAAAATATTTTTTTCAGCCCTACCAATCATGCCCTGAAAAAAACAAGCAAGACTTTTCAAGTTTACATTATACCTTACTAGTAAACATATACCATATGGTGGAGACAGGCAGAACTAAACAGGAAGCAAAACTAAGCTCCCAACTAGGAAAGTTCTTAAACCCTTGCTTGGGTCCCATTGAAGTCAGTGGGATTTGAAGGATGTTTTAAGTTAAATGGTTATTTAAGTGCTTTCTTGATTTGGGGCCAGAGTTCACTATTACCTAGTGCAGGGATCAGCAACCTTTGGCACGCGGCCAATCAGGGAAATCCTCTGGTGGGCCGGGACTGTTTTGTTTACCTGCAGCGTCTGCAGGTTCGGCCGATCGCAGCTCCCACTGGCCGCAGTTCGTCGTTCCGGCCAATGGGGGCTGCGGGAAGCGGCATGGGCTGAGGGATGTGCTGGCCGCCACTTTCCGCAGCCACCATATTAGTGAACTCAAAATCCTGCTTCTGAAGTCCCCTGCTCTCAATGAATGAGAAAGTGATCATAATTCTAGCATATAGCCTGAACGCTACATTTATCTTGTTTCTTTCCCCTAGGGAATACCTCCTTCCCTTCCTCATTCTCATTCTTCCTGGAAACCTTCTTTTTAACAGTTTAGAGGAAAGGGAAGCAACAGTAAACTAGTCCTGGAGAAAGAAAAGGAGTACTTGTGGCACCTTAGAGACCTAACCAATTTATTTGAGCATAAGCTTTCGTGAGCTACAGCTCACTTCATCGGATGCATAAAAGTGGAAAATACAGTGAGGATGTTTTTATACACACAGACCATGAAAAAATGGGTGTTTATCAATTCAAAAGGTTTTCTTCCCCCACCCCACTCTCCTGCTGGTAATAGCTTATCTAATGTGATCACTCTCCTTACAATGTCTGTGTGTATAAAAACATCCTCACTGCATTTTCCACTTTTATGCATCCAATGAAGTGAGCTGTAGCTCACGAAAGCTTATGCTCAAATAAATTTGTTAGTCTCTAGGGTGCCACAAGTACTCCTTTTCTTTTTGCGAATACAGACTAACACAGCTGCTACTCTGAAATCTAGTCCTGGAGAATGTTTATCTACTCTTTGGTAATGCTGGTTTCCCCACTTCTTGACCTTTGAGTCCTCTTCCATTTATTGCAATGTCCCAGATGCACCATTCCTCCTGCCAGCCCAACTGAAGAACACATTCTCCCCCAAGTAATTTGTCTGGACATACTATTACGTGCAAAATCAAGATGTGAGTTTTTAATTATCATCTTAGCAACATTATTTCCATTGGAAATAGTACAGTGTGGCTATAATAACACATGGTGCTTCTGAGCATTTCTCATGACAGGACATTATTTAGCTATGTCACTAGTTAGCTTCACATGAAAAAAATCTGTGATGACATGATAAATGTAGGGCCCAATCCTACAAAGTAATGACCACTATCTATGTAGTAACTAAGGAAGTTAAGGGAACTTAGCACCTTGAAAAGCCAAGTCTAAAGGCATTATTACAGAAGGGTTCCAAATGAAACATCTTACTGTACATGCTGAAATTAGTGTACTTTGAAAAAATATATATATACGCTCTATATTTCAGTTACATTTGCTTTTGCACCATCTATTCCTTATACCCTAAACAAATTAGTTGAATATATCCTTTAATTTCTATTGACTTTTTTGCTTACTTTTTAAAATATTTTAATCTGAAAATTAAAATATTTGACATGCTGCCAAATTTATTTTACAAACATGCGCATATTTCAATTCCAGATGCCTGTTCTAGGTATCATTCCCTTCCTTGGTCATCTTTATTGAATTACATCCCCATTTCTGAATTTAATTCAGAATGGCTTCAGTGCTTTTTGGAACTCCCATAGACTTGCTTGCACTCTCTTGTTCTCTGTCTTCATATCTACGCTCTCCTTGCTCGTTCACGCCATTCTTTCAGTCTTGGCATTCCTCTCTGTCCAACCCTGTACAATTCAAGGTCACTGATGGATGGTGTACTGCTTCCTCTAACTGTAGAAGAGATAGAGGTCCTTTTCATAAACTTCCAAGTTGCCACATCTCTTCCTGTCTCTCCTGAACTTCACCTTAGCCTATGTTTTGTGCTAAACCCTGTTCATCTTATTCTGTTTCATTCTCATATGCCTCCTTTACACCTCACTGTGACAATTCTACCCTTCTTTCTGAACAATCTCCCATCATTGCTGACTCCAGGCCTGCTCCACCAGCCGCAGCAATGGTGGGATCAGTAATGTGACAAAATGGCAATGACTGCCAGATCTTCTTACCACTGTGTCATCTAATCCTTCTCATCTAATTTCCTGATGTTCTGATAGAAATGCCAGTAGCCATCAGAGACATTTTCACACTAGTTGTCCACACCATTACCATAAGTGGGATTTTTTTTTTTTAGAAGAAAGACTTGTAAAGATAAAGATGTAAATTACAGTTTTGGCTTTTATTGCTCTGGTCCATTTTATTTCTCATTTTGACTTATTGCCTGTATGAGAGTCACTGTATCCAGTATTGTAAAACTTAATCCACTTACTTTATCTTTTGAGAAATTGCTTCGGAACGATGTTATATAACAATGAATTGAATTATAATTAGAAATGTTTAAATGCACAAGGGAACTTTTTATATCCTCGGCTTTGGTTGTGCTTTGTCGGTCAGAAATATGGATAAGGAAATTGTTGTGCTTCATGATTCTCTAAATGCTTGGAAGATAATTCTGGATAAGCACCTGGAATGCTTAGGGGCTTGTGTAAACCTTTTTTGCTCAGGAAATAAGGTTGAAAATTTCAGAGGGCAATGCTGACTTTGAAGATTTCCAGTATTTTCTGGTTTTGATTGAGCTAGGAATGCTACAAGAGTGGCTTTTTTCACGGCGTTGCTACTTTTGCTTCTGCTTTTGGATGAAATCAGCGAACACGGAATCATTTTATGCTGTGACATGTAGCTGTGAAGTATATGAAAGTATAAAAAGCCCCACTATTGTTTACTAAGCAAGAGATTTGTACTGTCTTCCCAGATCTTTGTGATTAATACATGTACTAGAGGTGGTTAACAACTGGAACACTGGATCCGAACCGTCTCTGTACTTTAGGAAAGTTTGCACTAAAATCTACATCCACAAGGAAAGCTTTATCTTTTTATAGCCTGTACAGAGCTGAGCCTAGGACAGGGGAGAGAGGAAAGTGCCCTGAAATCCAGTATGCAAAGTCAGAACAATAATGTCATAGCACTTATGGATGGAACAAGCTTTTCTGGTTGATTTTCATCATGTCCAACAAGGACACAGTGGCAACCATTTGGCAACCATTAAGGGTCTGATCCGGTGCCTATTGAAGAAAAAGAAGAGATTCTGGTGAATTTAGCAAGCAACGGATCACTTTTTATCCTTCTCATGTCCAAAATTATTAATTAAAATAAGAAAGCTTTTCAAAGGGGATATCCTTTGAATGGAGGCCCCATGCAGTTTACAGCACAGGGGAACTGTCTCACATTTAAAGTTGTACTGTATTGTTACAGTATGTATCTGTGGGCACCTGATTCTCTACTGCCCTTCATCTTGTGTCACCAGTTATACCTGTGCAAAGTGGAAGAAGAAGAGCTCTGTGGAGCTTGAAAGCTTGTCTCTTTCACCAACAGAAGTTGATCCAGTAAAAGATATTACCTGGCCCACCTTGTCTCTCTCATATCCTGGGACCAACATGGCTACAACAACACTGCAAACAAAGTGGGTATGAAATTCTACCAGATCAGTTTCTCTGCTCTCTTCCACTGGTGGAAGCATTTCAGCCCCATTTTGCACTCAGCAAATGTGTACATGTCTACATAAGGTGCAAGGAAATGGAGAATCAGGCCCACACTATTATTATTGAAAGGTCAGATTCTGCCACCCTGACTTGTGCTGAGTAATTCCATGTTCCAGAAATTCCCCCATTGATTTTAGTGGAATAAGGTGCTGTTCAATGTGAGTAAGTCTGGAAGAATCTGACCCAAAGTGAACATAGTGTTGCGTCTTTGCAGCACTTCACGTGACAGAGGGATCACCTGGAGAAGGAGCAATGCATTGGCTAGTGATAGTTCAAATTTAAAGCAATCAGTTTTTTTGACCCAGTTATTTGTTCTAATTTGTTGTCTGTGTCTGAATTGCATCTTTTTAGAATGTCTCTTTTCTGTTCACACTTCTAGCTCTTTGCCCAGCTGACTTGTAGTTAACAAACCTGCTGAACATCAATTTCCTCAGCTGTTATCTCCATCTGTCCTGCCACAAGGATTTCTTCTTTAAGACATGCTATGTCTTGTTCTTCCAACATGTGCAGCACACTATAGAATTGTGTCTCAGCACCTGGGCAGTGAATCATTAGTGAGCTGATTTGATACCATTTTTCTATCATTCAGAGACCCCATTCAGTTCATAGCAGATATGAAAGGAAGGAAGATTACGTTAGCATAAATAGCGGAAAATGGATTGAATGAATATTTATTGTATTTTGTACAGGTCATGTGTGTCTAAGTATAGAAAGGGCCTGACTACTTCTAGGGTGCCTTAATTTACAGATCTCATTTCCAGGAGGAAAATTAAACCAATGACTCTTGATTTTACTGTTGACCGTTTATTAAACCTTAAATTTCCATCTGTTCCTGCTGACACACCTTCAATGGCTAATTGTGAGTCATTGAGTAATTACTTTCCAGGGAGAATTTATCTCAGTTGGATTTTGCTTGCTTCATCCGTTAGAAAGTGCAGTCGCTGACTGAATTGCATCTACACTGGGGAGGGGATATCTGCATGAGGAGGGGTTGTACAGCAGCATGCATTTTAGCAATCTGTTCTTTCTATCATTTTCCTATATGCCTTTCAGAAGAGTGTATTGAATCCAGTAGATCAACCCTCAGTTTGACTTTGACTTCGACT